TTATTCTACATGAGTAGATCAATCGGTTTCTACACTGCTCAGACTTCAGCAATTCCGTTCAGTTTAAATTTCTACAAGCTTGTCCTCCCCAAAGATCCACTTGTGAAAAGGGTGAAACGTTCAACTGTTTGTCAATTTCTTTTGGAAGACTTTTCATTAAAGCAGATAAGACAAAGTGATCGATCCAGACAGAGCGATCCAGACAAAAAAAGCGGAGATAAAGATTCAAATTCCTAATTTAATAAGTAATAAGATGAGTTTGTATCCCTTCTGCTGTTAGCTAACCTTTTGCCACATTAAATTGTTGAACCCGACGCTTGTCCTGAAGCAATTTTTTCTGTTAACCATATGCACATATAATTTGAAGCACCTTCCTTGTTACAAAACCGTTCTTAGCGCTTCCTCGAAGCTTTTGATTTTGTTCCCATTTTTTAGTTATGAAACGAAACGTCAGATCGACAAAAAAACATATTTGACATTTGCCACTGCTCGCTTTTTCCCAGAAATTTACAAATTGGCTCATACTTGCTTCCTTCATAAAGGAAACAAGTATGTTTTTTCGTGCTGCTTGAAATTAGTCACTAAGTGCATTTACCGGCCTTCCAGACATTCCGAACCGCTAAGAAATCCAAATCCGAAGGATTTCATTTGAAAGGAGTTCAACAGTTTCTTTTTTTTTCTCAAACGTTGCTTTAAAGGATTATCATTTTTTCACACAAATCCCCAACTTACAAGGTGTAACCCCCAAAAATATAAAGTTTATAAAGAACTTAAACTCCCCTCCTTAAGAAGTAGGATTTCATGATACTGAAGTAATGGCACTGACAAATTTTCCAAAATATGGGAGAACGTCTTAAGCATCAACGGGTACTGTAATTGGATTAAATCACTGTCATTCCAGATAGAGGCGTTTTTCAAGGAAACCTTGAATAATTGCGGTAATTTCCAAAAAAACTAGCTATCGTTGTTTTCGATGTGACATTGAATTTCTCAGTTAAAAAGTAAAAAAATAATGTGAATCGAGAGTATATTTATTTTTTATATTTAATATTTCAAAAGTGAACCACAAGACTACGGGAAAGGGAGATTAGAGAAGAAAAGTTAAATGATAAATTAAATGTTCAATTTTCAGAGTTCAAAGTACCAGCTCATTGATTTTTTATTATAGGTGCAACTTAAACAGAGATACTCAAGATCTACAGTAGAACCCAATTTCAAGAAAACTGTTGCCCTTGTAGCTAATTTTTTGAAATAAGAATCTATAGGAAATTGAAATTCCATAACTGAAAAAACTTTTGCTGCTATTTTGCGCTTGCGGTTTCAGAAGGAGAAAAATATCAATCACTTTGACGTGTAAAACCGTGATATTCAAGCACTTCAACTCAACTATTATATTTGGTTTTTCTTACTAATTAAAAGACAGAAAGTTAACATTACTTTCAACCTATCGAAACACTTCATCAGTTTTAGAAAGATGGAAGAAGCAAAGCAGAAGAAACTAGAATTTTGTTTTATGCAGATTCATAGAAGAGATAGGAGAAACTATAATGATTTTTATAAGCATTATTTTCTATAATGTTCTTGGTAAGCCGAACAATCTATAAAATAGGAAATCACAATGAATTAAAACAGTAAAACCTCATAACACCACAAGTCATCTGTAAAAATTGACATATTCGGTACCTTTTTGATCTTAGTGGCAGCGTCTTCAGATACTGGATGTGCACTTGTTTCCAGCAGTCCCTCGATCTCACGGAGTTGCTGGTCCATGGAGCTGCCAGTTCATCCGCGAGACGCTAGCCGCGCGGGAGCCACGCGAAGCACAACCGACCTTCCGTCTAAAATAAATCACAATTAGATCCCAGCAATTCATACGATACTCTACGATACATACATATATAGCTAAGACGAATATTCTTGTTCACAGAATACTCGATTATTATAATTCGAATATTCGATAGGCAAATATTTCAAAAAAAAACACACACACAATTATTTGATTTTTCGGATAGCCCAATATTCAAAAAGATGC